TTTTCATGATTTTGTATGACTTCTGCTTGTTGCCTGCATAATTCTTTATATAATCATATATGTACGGAATGTGAAACTGTGAGAGCGAATTGCAATAATTTCGCTACATTCAGTACAGCGTAAAGTTATTTGTCGCGTGACATATACCCAGCACGTGACAATAAAGTCATATACGTACGGGATTTTGAATGCCATGTGCAAATCGCGGACCGGTGTGCGCCTTGGAAAATCGCCTATGTTGTGGAGAACCTTGTTTTGCGGGCGCTGCAATTAAATTAGACGAGTGTCTGCCGCAACTCCCAGGCGGGACTAGCATAAGTCATTACGGATCTAATGAGAGCTTTGTGGAGGTTCAGATTAATGTTAGCGCTCAATCGCTCACTTCATAATAGCGAATACAATCTTATAAATATTCTGAAGGCCTAGGCTTCGATCATTTCTATGTGTAATCTCCAGGTAACTCCCCTGTCAAAGATTACACCAAGATATATTACACAATTTGCATATGGAATATATCTTCCATTCAATGTAAATGCGACACAGGCGGACGACGACTGCGAGAGAAGTAGATCCCGTGAATCTTATCTTCATTGAATTTGGTATTGCAGCGCTCGCACCAGGTCTCCATTGAGCTGACCGCGCTGGAGTTTTCTAACAAAACACTCTTTGCGATCTGTAGCATACAGACAGGTGACATCTGCAAAGAGGGCTAGTTGAACGCCATGTGTTTGCGGGGCATCATTTATGTACGTACATATTGGGAAGAGTAGGGGGCAAAACCGAACCGTGCGGCACCCCTTCATGCATTTCTCTGGCGTAGATATTTCGCCTTCGACCGAAACACGGAATTTTCGTTGTGAAAGAAATGGTCCAATGAGCTTGATTAAGCTGGCCGAAAATTCCAATTTTGACAACTTATATAGCAAGCCCGAGTGTCATGTAGTATCAAAGGCGCCCTCGTGGTAACCTGCGGAGTTGGCCGTTTTATCGTACCTACTATTCATCCGGTCACTGCCGAGCTTCAGGTGTTGTGGATGTCGTGTAGGTCATCCACTACCTCTGCTGCATAATCGGTTGGGCGCAATTCCTTGTCTGGAGATACCCCAAAAAGCAGGTCGCAGGGCAGTCGGAGTTCTCGTCCGAACACTAAGATAGCAGGAGTCAAACCCATAGTGTCGTGAGTGGATGCCCTGTAAGCTAGGAGAAAGAGGGGTAAACCCTCATCCCAGTCCATCTGGAGGGATGTGACGACCTTCCGTGAGTGCTCCTCGATGGTCTTAATGTAGCGTTCCACCATGCCGTCCGACATCTGAAGCCATCTCAGTGGTTTCTATTATATACATATAATTGTCTTGACGTAATCGGTATAGGTATGTCAAATATTGTATCATCATCATCAGTAATCTGTTAGACGACAGGTCCACAGTCTCTTCCTAAACAGTTCCTCCACTTAATGCGATCTAGAGCTTTCTCCTTCAAATGACAGTATCCTCTTCTGTCCCCAAGGTCATCCAGCATCTTCTTACGTCTTCTTCCTCATCTCCTGGTCACTTCTATCCGCCCCCCTATCTTTCCCTTAATAACTTCGTTTAGAAGGCAGTTACTGCGTAAGATATGACCAATCCAATTAGCCTTCCGTTTTCTTATTTCGTGTAGGATAGCCCTCTGCTCACTGACTCTAAATAACACTTCTTCATTTCTCACATAATCGGTCCGACTGATCTTCTCCATCCTTCTCCAACGCCACATTTCGAAGCTTTCCAGGTTTTTCTGATCTACTGCCCTAAGTGTCCAAGTTTCAGCCCATACAAAGCCATGCTCCAAATGTAGCATTTCACTAGTTTCATCCTCAAATTTAAGTCCAGTTTGCTGGTAAAAAGATTCTTCTTCTTCTTGCTAAATGCAGCTTTTGCCATGGCAATCGTAGATTTAATTTCACAAGTACGCCTTCCATCATCTGTTAACAAGCTACCCAAATATTTAAAACATTTCACATCCTCCAGTTGTTTTTGGTCTATCTTTATTGTGACTGGAGTTGGTTGTCTCGAAATTTTCATTACTTTTGTTTTTTCCACATTCATTTCCATGCCACAGCATATTGTATAACAAAGATAATAGTTATGAATTGTTTGGTTAGCCTGGAATCATTGTTACGGTTTAACGAAGGAGATTTAAGAGCGTCGCCCATACAGCATATTCGGGTGAAACAAATTCTTAAGGAACTTCATATGTGAAACTAGCTCTCGGCTTCCATAAATGTGGGAGCGTTTCTTGTCAGCTTCCCAAGAAGGAGCCTGTTACACAATGTGACACAAAGAGAATGACCGGAAGAAACAGACGTGGTAAAATAATAGGCATATTTTCTTGGAATCATGGGTAATGAACTTTTCTGAGATTTTCGTAGATACGATCCAATTTCGAGAACTGGTAATTAGAGTTAACTAATTATCGCACTAGCCAGGAATGCTCACCAGTAGAGGTACGTGGAGTGATTCGTCTCCACCCGACTGGTCCTACAATCCATCACAGATATGAGGCCTTCCTATAGTTGAGTTTATCTCTAGCTTTCAGCTTTTCACGTGCCTTCAAAATAATCTGAAGATATTTATTTCTATTTCTCTGTTCGCAGGTGGAGGGATGGAAATGGCTACGGCAGATGATGCAAGGATCTTACAGTGCCGAGTGTGCTGCAATTATATCCAGGCTCGTATACTACAGTGTCCTAACGGTCATCTGATTTGCTTCAGGTGTCGTTCCAAGTTGACTCACTGTCTATTGTGCAGGGAACGTGTGGGATACAATCGGAACGTGGGAATGGAGCTAATTGCTAGAACCCTTAAGCTCCCATGCAACTATTCAAAATTTGGCTGTGCAGTAGCCCTTCAACACAATGAGAGGGGGGAACATGAAGAAACATGTGAATTCCGGCCATACACCTGTCCGATCCTGGGGCCTTTTTGCACGTGGGAAGGTTCCCTGGAGGAAGTGGCGCCTCACCTCATGACGTCTCATTGCTTAATCCCAACTGATGAAGACAAGGATATTAATTTATCAATTGGAGACATCAATGAGCCAGGACCAGTTCCCTCGCTCCATATGCTGTCCCGTTTTGGCCATAATTTTCTTGTGGGACTTTATAAACCAAACGCGGTTTTTAGAACTGAACAATCTTTTGTTACAATACAACTGATTGGGTCAAGGAAAGAGGCCAAAAACTTTTCATACAGGTTAAAACTGAATGGCCAAGGAAGTTGTGTGACATGGGAATCAACAATAAGATCCATCCATGAACGAGACTTCTCAGCAATCAGGGAACGTGACTGTCTGGTACTGAATCCCTGCACTGTCAAAGACTTTGCAGATAATGGCAAGCTGAGCTTCGATGTGTCAATTTCTATGGTCTGAGACTGGCATTCTTTGGAGTTGATGATCACTGCCAGCGTTTTAACAAGTATTGCCTATCGGTAACACTACGCAACATGACTTTTATTTCTGACATTAGTGTATAGTTCTGGAAAATACCCTCACGGATTCTCATATCAAGGAAACAGTTAAAACATTGCACAGAGGAGAAAACGTGATCAGCTGGTGTTTGAGGTAGCATATTTTTGCAGTGACTGTATGTACTTTACCAATTGTAAATATAAAGTGAAACAAGAATACAGACATTAATTTTCTATCAGTATATACATATGAGTGTTTACAGAGTTGAAATATTGAGAGAACTGCATGTAAATTTACTGTGTTTAAATCTTTACAGGAAAATATTATTTTGTACTACAGTTAAAATTCAGCATCACTAAAGCACTAAATAACACTGTTGAGTTTCTTTATTCAGATGTAATTACAGTTGCTAAATTGATTTATTTGTGGCAGATCTTCGTAATTTTTTAAAGGCGCCATTAAAAGCAGTGGTTTATTTGTGATGGTAGCAAAATCTGTAAAAGTGAATATGACTCACTGTTTGGTGTGAGAGCAATGGAAAAGTTCTTCTTTACACTGAATATAAAACTTTTGAAGTTTACAAGATTTATTTATTTTGATCTAAACATGCCCACTATCTACACTGCTTCCCTCTAGTGTTGAAATGAAGTGAAGTAACGCGATCAGCATGCCATTTTTCCCCTTTGACCTTTGGAAGCAGCTGACCAATTTTCATGAAATGTGCTGTGAACATTGTTGTTTGAGGTCACTCAAATGCAGTACTTTTTAACTTCCTGCAGTAAGTAATAATAACAGCATGACGGATGCGCGAACTTCAGTGGTGGAAGATAGAACTGGTGTAAGGTAATAAACATATCTTGAAACATGGAAACTTTAGACGAATGTAAAGGAATTACAGGACGCTGCCTGGTATCTGTATTTAACTTTCAGTTTGAGGGTGGTAACATTTTGAACAAGGTACCTGGAGTTTGATATTGATATTTATCATAAACACCCCTGCAGATTCTGAATGAAATTCTGTTTAGCGTAACCGTAAGTTTAAGTTACAAGTTCTTCAGTGAAATAAAACAAAATGCCAGTAATAATGCTAATGGTACTGTAGAAGCAAAAACATTTGCAACAGGAATGGAGTTCCTCTTGAATTTCGGTTCCCTGAATATGCATCATGTGGTCTCTGTAAGTTATAACCAGTCGCCCTAGGTTTCTCGTTGTACACAAGCGATTTAAATACCGGTTAAGTTATGCAACACTGTGGCCCTTCACTCGGTATCACAGGTATCTCGACATTATTAAACAAATTCAAACGAATAAGTGCCCATATTAAATTGTGTAAAGGTACGATTATATCGAATAGCGATTCTATCAACGGTATATGACAACATCGAAAGTTAGCGCAAATTATCTCACGATACCCGTACTTCATATTCGTTATTCCGTGGCTTTTAGTCCGCAAGCGAACTATACCGACCCAGGGACCATCGTTTGTGGGCGAAGTTGGTGCCAACTTTAGCGGATAGAGGGTGTGGCGTGGTCATCGCAACGAATCCCCAAGGCCGTTAATCTCGGTTTTTTTGACCAGAGTCGCTATTTCCTTTAAATAGCTTCTCGGTTATCCTCACGAGAGTGAGGGGACCCCGTCCCAAACCCACTACTTTTCAGAAAATCTGGTAGCGCCGGGAATCGAACCCGGACCTCTGGATCTGTAGCAGGAACTCTGACCATTAGACCACAGAGGTGGTCCTTGTCTTCACTGATTCTAATACATAGTCAAGCGTCCAACACACCCACAACTAATACTATTGGATGCAGTAAGCCAATTGTTGAGGTATTGATTTTTTACGTAAATTCGAAGTGCCCACAACTTCGATATTAGCAGAATATCAAAGTTGTAATTTTATCTCCACGTTACTCTACAATAGAGCGTTATTTGCTATGAATTTCAAAATATTCGGAGCATCCAACCGGAGATATGAGATGTTAAAAATGGCAGATTTTGGGCCCAGAGCAAAGTTTGGATCTCCTGGAAAATTTTAGAAAATATATACGGGGTTCTAAACTACGTGATTATATTCCATATGTAGGTAACAACAAAGGGTAGAAACCACATACGTTACACTTTCACCCTCCCTTTGGTTTTTCAATGTAAATTAAAGTTATATTTTAACGTCCTGTTGCACTGATTCACGTCCATTTGTACCAACCGTCTTACAGTGCACGCAATTTCAGCTTTCTCTTCACTACATGTTTCGGCACTAAGATGCCATCTTCAGGTGTGGTTTATTTACGTTAACCATTGCACTGTATGCCATCATCTCTCCTTTATAAAATGATTTAAATGTATATATGTCATGTATAATAATAAAGTTTATATATTAAACTTTTCAAGATTTATCATCTATACGTTGCACTTGAAATTCGCGAGTTACGTCAATCCTCTCCTATGGGGGTGCTCTTCCTATATTCTTGTCTATATTGTGTTCTGTCTTGTGTCCTTCCCTTGTGACTGCCTGCGTTGTAGTGCTGGAGAGATGATGGCATACAGTGCAATGGTTTGACGTAAATGAAATCATACCTGAAGATGACATATTAGTGCCGAAACATGTAGTGAAGAGAAAGGTGAAATTGTGTGCACTGTAAGACGGTTGGTACAAATACACATCATGGACGTAAAAATGAGTTCTTTTTTTTTTTCCAAAATCGACACGTAAGTTTCAAGCTTAATTAGACCTTGAGGAAATGTGTTGAATAAAACCTTGTAATGACACGAATTGTAGTCCCTATCATGAAGAAAAAATTGGTTTTCTATTGGAGTATCTGGCTTCAATAGTTATCGAGATTTATGATATAACGCAACTTTCCATTTCAGCCGAAAACGCGTTTTCCTTCGCATTATATAAACGGCCGTACGGGGAGAACCGAGCGCATTACAATTTTCTTAAAAAATTTTTTTGAAGTATGAAAATACTCGTACGTAGAAATATGTGTACGAAATATACAAAATTTTAAAAATGGTCGAGCGACCTGTCTGGATGACTTCACCTGGAATAATCCAATACAGTATCGCCACGTCACAACGTTTAAACGGTGCTACAGTATTTCGTTACGCGTGGTGTGGAATTTAACAATGAATTATTCTGACGAATTCTAATTAACATTTACGTTATGGAGTCTAAAATATTATAATTGCGTGATGAATTCGGCTTTACCTAACATCTGATCGCTTTCACTGTGTGACAATTATCTGCAAATTAACAGGAAATAACAAGATGCTGGTTTCTCCTCTGCCGAATGTTGCAACACGATATTCATTGATTCTGATTCGTGTTCCACAGGATGAACTGCAAACACCCATAATTCCGAAGGAATATTTTTTTTATCGCCGTCAGGGCGTTGGAGAGAATATGTGGTCATGAGAGGAAAAAACAATAGGAGAATAGAGGGTCTCCATGATTTTCACTCACCAGATGGCATCCGTGTCATGAAATCAAGACGAAACATTCCGATGTACCTCTCGAGGGATGAATGAATTTGTACATAAAATTAGTTAGAAAATCCGAATGAAGGCCACTTTGAAATACCCTAAATTTGTCATCCAAATGAAGATAGAATCAAACCTTAAGACATAAACAAGGCAATATTTCAAATTGCACAGGATCTACACACTCCACATCCCTGAAGACGGCATTCTTCATAGTCACCGCCGTGAAAACCTCGTATCTAACTCTTTTATTGCTAGTGGGGTGGGACTAAGTCCCTTGTAATGCGGCCACTTCTGGCCTATTGTACCAGCCCCAGATGATAGATGAGGGTGATTGTGGAGCAATTGGTGGAATGAAGAGGAAAACCGAAGTACTCGGAGAAAACCTGCTCCAGCGCCACTTTGTCCACCACAAAACCTACTTGACCAGACCCGGGATCGAACCCGGGCCGCTCCGGTTGGATGCCACCGACTAACAGCTTGAGCTCTGGCACGGCCCTAGTCATATCTAACTTAGTCTGTACTTATTCATGCAATATGAATTCCTCACTGCCTGTGTATAAATATATCATATGAGATATGCCACCGTGCAGTCTTGTGGGTGCTTAGCTACAAGGAATCACATCACAGAACACAGACAATCTCACTATTCCTGCGTAACGTACATCTCAGTTTATGCCGTCCCCTTAGAATAAAAGCCAAAGTTCGTATCCCTACAATGAATAGAGCACAATTATATTCTGAATTTTAGGGCTAAATTTCAATTTGACACCAAGCATGACCCAAACTGAATCTTACTTGCATTACCGCCTGATTACATATAATATAATTTCGATATTCTACTCTCGTATTCAAATATTTCAACTTTGCTACATTTCCGAACATGTTATTAGCAATATCTCTAGTATACATGGGACATGTCTCATACAAATACGTTGTAATAAAATCTATACATAAATTTTATAGAAACAAGTGAATTCCACACTGTACTTGGTCGGATCTGTTTAATCTTTTTCTCAGTAATTAAAATAGTGTGTACGGTCACACAGTGGATTGGTCATATGACGTATGAAATCTATTCTAGTTTATCTAGTTCTGAAACATAACCTAGTATCCCACGAATGTACGCTCATAAAATGCCAAATTGCATTTTGTATCTCCCTCAGAACTTTAATGACGTCCATTTTTTCTTCGTGGCACTACAGCCCCAGGGGGCCTAGGCCTACCTCCATGAACTTCTCCGTTCACTTCGGTTCTTCTAGATCTTACACATTCGGTAGAACTCCTTGGGCGGTTGATCAGCTCGTCGCAAGACCTCTACCTGTACACAACACACAAACTAAACATCCATGCCCTGAGTGGGATTCTAACCCACGATCCCGGTTTCCAAGCGAGCGAAGACAGTACATGCCTTAGACCGCTCGGCTACCGTGACCGCCGATGTCCATTTTACCATACGAAATTATTGTGTGAATAATTACAG